CAGATGTACAGGATGAAGAAGGTTGGCAGGCAGCAGGAGCCCCGAAGTCCCAGAGGAGACACAATGTTACCTTGCATTAGATCAGACAGGCCAAGCCACCTGCAGGCAACAAATTCAGGTTGATAAACAAAGGACACCATGGTGCCCCTTATTCTGCTATAATTCACCTCGAGGAGAAATTTGGCCTTAAGATATCAGTGTCCACAAATCTGAAAGTAGATGTTATTGTCACTACCCGAAACAGAGTCCTGTGAGGTACTGCAGAAGGTGAACGACCTGGAATCACCACTTGTTCTGCCAGAACTAAAATCCATAGAGTAGGTAACAAAAAAGCGTACTAATGCGATATCCACTAGACATGTTTCTTAATGCAATCCACAATAACAAAAACATGGTGTAAGTTGAGTGGCTCTGAGCCAAGATGGACGACAACATACCTACGAGGCAGGTCTTGATCCAACACAGAGGTCCTCTGCCAGCTTAACTGGATCTCTGTTACTGGGGAACATACCAGGTCAGGGCGTACAACCCAGGACCTTCAAGGTGCTTCAGGTGCCACAGGTACAACCGTCTCGGTGCCCGGTGTCAGTTTAAGGAAATATGCAGCATCTGTAGCTGGTCTCACCCGACCAAGAACCGCTTGGATAGACTGAAGCTATGGAACCTAGATGTCTGAACTGTGGCAAGAAGCATCATGCCTGGAACCTGCACTGTCTGGAGAGGTTTCACCGTATCTAGGCATCATGGAAAATTTAGGTTGCCCAGCCTCCAATATTAAATAGAGCTCTCACCACTGAGCAGAAGTCTCGTCCAGAGAAGGCTATAATAAGGAAACCAGGGGCCACTTTCCTGGCCACAGCGACGAAGGAAGCCGAGGAAATATCAGCGACGGGGTCGCAACCTTGCTCAACCTCAGCTACCCATTCTCCTGCTCAAACTCTGACCCAACAACGGCAGCCAACGGGACCCATGATACAGGAAGAGACTACAGCTAACGTGTCAACCCAACACCACAACAGTCACCAGTGAGGAACACTCTAGCCCAGGAGAACAGACCAGGACATCCAATATTACCTCTAAGCCATCAAATGATGTCAATTATCACACGCTTCACTGACATCATATGCGACCTGATAGACTCAGAACTATTATCAAGATCTTCGTGAACATATTCATGATTGAGATTAAAACACCTGTACAACAGTTGGGTATCTTTATTGATGAAAAGTTCAGCCTACACAGCAGGCTTCATCAGTCAAATACTAAAAGACCAGTAGTAATGAAATAAAGATGATGTAATCAGTCTATCAACCTTGGAGAAAAAGTACTTGAGGTTATCAGTCCCTCAGCCTGGAGAAGAGTTCAGCTCCATGGTCTGGAACAAGGTGGTCAGTCCCTCAGCCTGGAGAAGAGTCCGGCTCCATGGTCTGGAACAAGGTGGTCAGTCCCTCAGCCTGGAGAAGAGTTCAGCTCCATGGCCTGGAACAAGGTGGTCAGTCCCTGAGCCTGGAGAAGAGTCCATCCCCATGATCTGGAACAAGGTGGTCAGTCCCTCAGCCTGGAAAAGAGGTAGGCTCCATGGTCTGGAACAAGGCGGTCAATCCCTCAGCCTGGAGAAGACTTCAGCTCCATGGTCTGGAACAAGATGGTCAGTCCCTCAGCCTGGAGAAGAGATAGGCTCCATGGTCTGGAACAAGGTGGTCAGTCCCTCAGCCTGGAGAAGAGTCCATCTCCATGGTCTGGAACAAGGTGGTCAGTCCCTCAGCCTGGAGAAGAGTCCAGCTCCATGGTCTGGAACAAGGTGGTCAGTCCCTCAGCCTGGAGAAGAGTCCAGCTTCATGGTCTGGAACAAGGTGGTCAGTCCCTCAGTCTGGAGAAGAGTTCATCTCCATGGTCTGGAACAAGGTGGTCAGTCCCTCAGCCTGGAGAAGAGTCCAGCTCCATGGTCTGGAACAAGGTGGTCAGTCCCTCAGCATGGAGAAGAGTTCAGCTCCATGGTCTGGAACATGGTGGTCAGTCCCTCAGCCTGGAGAAGAGTCCAGCTCCATGGTGTGGAACAAGGTGGTCAGTCCCTCAGCATGGAGAAGAGTTCATCTCCATGGTCTGGAACAAGGTGGTCAGTTCCTCAGCCTGTAGAAGAGTCCAGCTCCATGGTCTGGAACAAGGTGGTCAGTCCCTCAGCCTGGAGAAGATTCCAGCACCATTGTCTGGAACAAGGTGGTCAGTCCCTCAGCCTGGAGAAGAGTTCAGCTCCATGGTCTGGAACAAGGTGGTCAGTCCCTCAGCCTGGAGAAGAGATCAGCTCCATGGTCTGGAACAAGGTGGTCAGTTCCTCAGCCTGGAGAAGAGTTAGGCTCCATGGAGTTAGAACAAGGTGGTCAGTCCCTCAGCCTGGAGAAGTGTCCAGCTCCATGGTCTGGAACAAGGTGGTCAGTCCCTCAGCCTGGAGAAGAGTTATGCTCCATGGTCTGGAACAAGGTGGTCAGTCTCTCAGTCTGGAGAAGAGTTCAGCTCCATGGTCTGGAACAATTGGTCAGTCCCTCAGCCTGGAGAAGAGTCAGCTCCATGGTCTGGAACAAGGTGGTCAGTCCCTCAGCCTGGAGAAGAGTCCAGCTCCATGGTCTGGAACAAGGTGGTCAGTCCCTCAGCCTGGAGAAGAGTCCAGCACCATGGTCTGGAACAAGGTGGTCAGTCCCTCAGCCTGGAGAAGAGTCCAGCTCCATGGTCTGGAACAAGGTGGTCAGTCCCTTAGCCTGGAGAAGAGTTCATCTCCATGGTCTGGAACAATTGGTCAGTCCCTCAGCCTGGAGAAGAGTCCAGCTCCATGGTCTGGAAAAAAGGTGTCAGTCCTCAGCTTGGAGAAGATCCAGCTCCATGGTCTGGAACAAGGTGGTCAGTCCCTCAGCTTGGAGAAGAGTCCAGCTCCATGGTCTGGAACAAGGTGGTCAGTCCCTCAGCTTGGAGAAGAGTCCAGCTCCATGGTCTGGAACAAGGTGGTCAGTCCCTCAGCCTGGAAAAGAGTTAGGCTCCATGGTCTGGAACAAGGCGGTCAATCCCTCAGCCTGGAGAAGACTTCAGCTCCATGGTCTGGAACAAGATGGTCAGTCCCTCAGCCTGGAGAAGAGTTAGGCTCCATGGTCTGGAACAAGGTGGTCAGTCCCTCAGCCTGGAGAAGAGTCCATCTCCATGGTCTGGAACAAGGTGGTCAGTCCCTCAGCCTGGAGAAGAGTCCAGCTCCATGGTCTGGAACAAGGTGGTCAGTCCCTCAGCCTGGAGAAGAGTCCAGCTTCATGGTCTGGAACAAGGTGGTCAGTCCCTCAGTCTGGAGAAGAGTTCATCTCCATGGTCTGGAACAAGGTGGTCAGTCCCTCAGCCTGGAGAAGAGTCCCAGCTCCATGGTCTGGAACAAGGTGGGTCAGTCCCTCAGCATGGAGAAGATTCAGCTCCCATGGTCTGGAACATGGTGGTCAGTCCTCAGCCTGGAGAAGAGTCCAGCTCCATGGTGTGGAACAAGGTGGTCAGTCCCTCAGCTGGAGAAGAGTTCATCTCCATGGTCTGGAACAAGGTGGTCAGTTCCTCAGGCCTGTAAAGAGTCCCGCTCCATGGTCTGGAACAAGGTGGTCAGTCCCTCAGACTGGAGAAGATTCCAGGCACCATTGTCTGGAACAAGGTGGTCAGTCCCCTCAGGCCTGGAGAAGATCAGCTCCCTGGTCTGGAACAAGGTGTCAGTCCCTCAGGCTTGGGAAAGAGTCACTCCATGGTTGGAACATGGTGGTCATTTCCTCAGCCTAGGAGAGAGTTAGGCTCCATGGAGCTAGAACAAGGTGGTCAGTCCCTCAGCCTGGAGAAGTGTCCAGCTCCATGGTCTGGAACAAGGTGGTCAGTCCCTCAGCCTGGAGAAGAGTTAGGCTCCATGGTCTGGAACAAGGTGGTCAGTCTCTCAGCCTGGAGAAGAGTTCAGCTCCATGGTCTGGAACAAGGTGGTCAGTCGCTCAGTCTGGAGAAGAGTCCAGCTCCATGGTCTGGAACAATTGGTCAGTCCCTCAGCCTGGAGAAGAGTCAGCTCCATGGTCTGGAACAAGGTGGTCAGTCCCTCAGCCTGGAGAAGAGTCCAGCTCCATGGTCTGGAACAAGGTGGTCAGTCCCTCAGCCTGGAGAAGTGTCCAGCTCCATGGTCTGGAACAAGGTGGTCAGTCCCTCAGCCTGGAGAAGAGTTAGGCTCCATGGTCTGGAACAAGGTGGTCAGTCTCTCAGCCTGGAGAAGAGTTCAGCTCCCATGGTCTGGAACAAGGTGGTCAGTCGCTCGTCTGGAGAAGAGTCCACTCCATGGTCTGGAACAATTGGTCAGTTTCCCTTTGCCCGGAGAAGAGTCACTCCATGGTCTGGAACAATTGGTCAGTCCCTCAGCCTGGAGAAGAGTCCAGCTCCATGGTCTGGAACAAGGTGGTCAGTCCCTCAGCCTGGAGAAGAGTCCAGCACCATGGTCTGGAACAAGGTGGTCAGTCCTCAGCCTGGAGAAGAGTCCAGCTCCATGGTCTGGAACAAGGTGGTTTAGTCCCTTAGCCTGGAGAAGAGTTCATCTCCATGGTCTGGAACAATTGGTCAGTCCCTCAGCCTGGAGAAGAGTCCAGCTCCATGGTCTGGAACAAGGTGGTCAGTCCCTCAGCTTGGAGAAGAGTCCAGCTCCATGGTCTGGAACAAGGTGGTCAGTCCCTCAGCTTGGAGAAGAGTCCAGCTCCATGGTCTGGAACAAGGTTTGGGCAGTCCCTCAGCTTGGAGAAGAGTCCAGCTCCATGGTCTGGAACAAGGTGGTCAGTCCCTCAGCTTGAAGAAGAGCCCAGCTCCATGGTCTGGAGCTGAACTCTCTCCAGGCTGAGGGACTGACAAGTCCACTCCCAAATTTCTGAATACATTCACCTCTCCTCCATACTCTCTCGTTCCAATCTGATATCCAATCTTTCGTTACCTAAATATTTTGTTAGTCCTAAATACTGTCGAAGATGAGGTGGCATAATCTGGAAGATGTTATAGGGGACGGGATCCACAGTACTGTCAGACACAGCAGCACAACGGTATCTGGGTACAAAGGACACCTTCCATTCTTCGTCACATATGAACTAGTTATGAGTGAGAATGGTTGCAATTGTGATTCACGAAATCGTAATGACACGATTGCAAAGAAACCGTACCACGGGCGGGGATAGAACCCGCGATCAGAGAGTCATAAAACTCCAGACGAACGGCTTTGAGGGGACTTGAGCTAGAGTTTGTCACGGCCACGCTGGCGGGAGATTCGTCTGTAAATATACCTAGTTGGATGAGTCTTATATAGCCATCCCAGTGACTAACGTGTCCGTCTGGAGTTTGTATGACTCTCTGACCGTGGGTTCTATCCCCACTCGTGGTATGGTTAAGGATACAATTCAGATGGACCTACCTTCTTACTTCCACGATCTTGCTTCTTAGAACCCTTTCAAAGATGTTTATGATATGGGGCGTTAGTGCTATCGGTCTGTAGATCTTTGTAATTACTGTACTGCCACCTTTGTGGAGTGGGGCTATGTTTCTTGTTTTTAGTGTGTGTGGGATGACCACTCTGTCCATGCTCCCTCTCCATAGAATATTTAAGGCGCGTGAAAGGCTTAACTTTCAGTTATTTATGAACACGGAGTTCCGCGAGTCCGGGCCTGTGGCAGAGTGCATGGGCGTGTTTATAATTATTTTTTCAAAGTCTTCTGGTGTTGGGATAATGATAAATCATTGAATTAATCAAATTTTGAGTCTCGGTCATCAGCAAATTTGTTCATGTCATCTGCAGTTCCTTCATCAAGGTCATTAATGTAAAAATGAACAACAGTGGGTCTAAAACTGACTCTTGCGGAACACCACAAGTGACCAGTTTTAATACAGATTTGACCCCATTATTGGAAACTCTCTGACTACACAGTAGGCTTCTTCAGTCAAAAATAGATGGAGGAGTAGTAATGAAATAAACATGATGTAATCAATCCATCAACCTTGAAGAAAAATTATTTGAGGTGGTCAGTCCCTCAGCCTGGAGAAGAGTTCAGCTCCATGGAGCCTAACTCTTCACCAGGCTGAGGGACTGACCACCTTGTTCCAGACCATGGTGCTGGACTCTTCTCCAGGCTGAGGGACTGACCACCTTGTTCCAGACCATGGAGCTGAACTCTTCCCAGCTGGGAAGAGCCAGTACCACTTGTTCCGACCATGGTGCGGACTCTTCTCCAGGCCTGAGGGAGAACCGTTGTTCAGACCATGGAGCTGAACTCTTCACTAGGCTGAGGGATGACCACCTTGTTCCAGACATGGGGGGAAACTCTTTCCCAGGCTGAGGGACTGCCACCTTGTTCCAGACATGGGCGGGAAACTCTTCTCCAGGCCGAGGGAAACTGACCACCTTTTTCCAGACCATGAGCTAACTCTTCCCAGGTGAGGGCTGACCACCTTGTTCGACCATGGAGCGGGATCTTCCCAGGCTGAGGGACTGACCACCTTGTTCCAGACCATGGGGATGGACTCTTCTCCAGGCTGAGGGACTGACCACCTTGTTCCAGACCATGGGGATACTCTTCCCCAGGCTGAGGGATTTGACACCTTTTTCCCAGACCATGGATTTGGACTCTTCTCCAGGTGGGGGACTGACCACCTTGTTCCAGACCTTTGTGTGGACTCTTCCCAGGCTGAGGGACTGCCCACCTTGTTCCAGACCAGGGGGAGGGGTTTCTTCTCCAGGTGAGGGACTGACCACCTTGTTCCAGACCATGGGGATGGACTCTTCTCCAGGCTGAGGGACTGACCACCTTGTTCCAGACCATGGAGATGGACTCTTCTCCAGGCTGAGGGACTGACCACCTTGTTCCAGACCATGGAGATTATCTTCTCCAGGCTGAGGGACTGCCCACCTTTTTCCCAGACCAGGGGGAACTCTTCTCCGGCTGAGGGACTGACCACCTTGTTCCAGACCTTTGGAGCTACTCTTCTCCAGGTGAGGGACTGACCACCTTGTTCCAGACCATGGAGCTGGACTCTTCTCCAGGCTGAGGGACTGACCACCTTGTTCCAGACCATGGAGCTGGACTCTTCTCCAGGCTGAGGGACTGACCACCTCAAGTACTTTTCTCCAAGGTTGACGGACTGATTACATCATCTTCATTTCATTACTACTCCTCCCTCTATTTTTAACTGAAGAAACCTCCTGCGTGGGCGAAACATTCCCTAATAAAGACATCCAACTGTTCTGCATGCATCTAATTTATCAAAATATTCTTTATCATTGTCTGCCTTAAATACTTTGCTGAAAAGCCAGTAAATTTGTCAAACAGGAACGACCTTCTTGGAGGGTTCCTCCGGGGGTCAACGCCCCCGCGACCCAGTCTATGACGAGGCCTCCCGGTGGATCAGGGCCTGATCAACTAGGCTGTTACTGATGGCCACACGTAGTCCAACGTACGAACCACAGCCCGGCTGTTTCGGCACTGACTTTAGGTATCTGTCCAGCTCCCTCATGAAGACAACCAGGGGTCTTGAAGACAGCCAGGGGTCTTGAAGACAGCCAGGGGTCTTGAAGACTGCCAGGGGTCTTGAAGACAGCCAGGGGTCTTTAAGACACCAGGGTCTTGAAGACCCAGGGGTCTTGAAGACACCAGGGGTCTTGAAAACAGCCAGGGGTCTTGAAGACGGGCCCGGGGTCTTGAAGACAACCAAGGGTCTTGAAGACCCAAGGGGTCTTGAAGACAACCAGGAGCTTGAAAGACAACCAGGGGTCTTGAAGACAGCCAGGGGTCTTGAAGACAACCAAGGGTCTTGAAGACAACCAGGGGTCTTGAAGACAACCAAGGGCCTTGAAGACAACCAGGGGTCTTGAAGACAGCCAGGGGTATTGAAGACAACCAAGGGCCTTGAAGACAACCAGGGGTCTTGAAGACAGCCAGGGGTATTGAAGACAACCAGGGGTTTTGAAGACTGTCATGGGTCTTGAAGACAACCAAGGGTCTTGAAGACTGCCAGGGGTCTTAAAGACAACCAAGGGTCTTGAAGACAACCAGGGGTCTTGAAGACAACCAGTGGTATTGAAGGCAACCAGGGGTTTTGAAGACTGCCAGGGGTCTTGAAGGCAACCAAGGGTCTTGAAGACTGTCAGGGGTCTTGAAGACAAACAAGGGTCTTGAAGACAACCAGAGGTCTTGAAGACAGCCAGGGGTATTGAAGACAACCAGGGGTTTTGAAGACTCCCAGGGATCTTGAAGACTGCAAGGGGTACTGAAGACAACCAGGGGTCTTGAAGACAGCCAGGGGTACTGAAGACAACCAGGGGTCTTGAAGACAGCCAGGGGTATTGAAGACTACCAGGGGTTTTGAAGACTACCAGGGGTCTTGAAAACAACCAAGGGTCTTGAAGACTGCAAGGGGTACTGAAGACAACCAGGAATCTTGAAGACTGCCATGGGGTCTTGAAGACATCCAGGGGTCTTGGAGACAACCAGGGGTCTTGAAGACAACCAGGGGTCTTGAAGACAACCAGGGATCTTGAAGACAACCAGGGGTTTTGAAGACAACCAGGGATCTTGAAGACATCCAGGGGTCTTGGAGACAACCAGGGGTTTTGAAGACAATCAGGGCTCTATTGGTAATCCCCCTACATGTATGCTGGGAGACATTTGAACAGTCTTGGGCCCCTGACACTTACTGTGTTGTCTCTTAGCGTACTAATGGCGCCCTTGGTGTATCCATACCTGAGATTCATTAATCAAATTATGCTCTTCAAGGTGACTTCTAATAATATCAGCTATAATTGATTCTAATATTTACCTATTAGATTATAGAGGAATGTATCCCCTGGTGGCCACGTTATAGATCACAGAGTTATGTATCCCCTCGTGGCCACGTTATAGATCACAGAGCTATGTATCCCCTGGTGGCCACATTATAGATCACAGAGCTATGTATCCCCTGGTGGCCACATTATAGATCACAGAGCTAGTATCCCTGGTGGCCACATATAGATCACAGAGCTATGTATCCCCTGGTGGCCACATTATAGATCACAGAGCTATGTATCCCCTGGTGGCCACATTATAGATCACAGAGCTATGTATCCCCTGGTGGCCACGTTATAGATCACAGAGCTATGTATCCCTGGTGGCCACGTTATAGATCACAGAGCTTATGTATCCCTGGTGGCCACATTATAGATCACAGAGCTATGTATCCCCTGGTGGCCACGTTATAGATCACAGAGCTATGGTATCCCCTGGTGGCCACAATTATAGATCACAGATATGTATCCCTGGTGGCCACATTATAGATCCAGAGCTATGTATCCCTGGTGGACCACGTTATTAGATCACAGAGGTATGTATCCCCTGGTGGCCACGTTATAGATCACAGAGCTATGTATCCCCTGGTGGCCACGTTATAGATCACAGAGCTATGTATCCCCTGGTGGCCACGTTATAGATCACAGAGCTATGTATCCCCTGGTGGCCACATTATAGATCACAGGCTATGTATCCCCTGGTGGCCACATTATAGATCACAGAGCTATGTATCCCCTGGTGGCCACATTATAGATCACAGAGCTATGTATCCCCTGGTGGCCACATTATAGATCACAGAGCTATGTATCCCTGGTGGCCACATTATAGATCACAGAGCTATGTATCCCCTGGTGGCCACATTATAGATCACAGAGCTATGTATCCCCTGGTGGCCACATTATAGATCACAGAGCTATGTATCCCCTGGTGGCCACATTATAGATCACAGAGCTATGTATCCCCTGGTGGCCACGTTATAGATCACAGAGCTATGTATCCCCTGGTGGCCACATTATAGATCACAGAGCTATGTATCCCCTGGTGGCCACGTTATAGATCACAGAGCTATGTATCCCTGGTGGCCACATTATAGATCACAGAGCTTATGTATCCCCTGGTGGCCACGTTTATAGATCACAGAGTATGTATCCCCTGGTGGCCACATTATAGATCACAGAGCTATGTATCCCCTGGTGGCCACATTATAGATCACAGAGCTATGTATCCCCTGGTGGCCACATTATAGATCACAAAGCTATGTATCCCCTGGTGGCCACGTTATAGATCACAGAGCTATGTATCCCCTGGTGGCCACGTTATAGATCACAGAGCTATGTATCCCCTGGTGGCCACATTATAGATCACAGAGCTATGTATCCCCCTGGTGGCCACATTATAGATCACAGAGCTAAGTATCCCCTGGTGGCCACATTATAGATCACAGAGCTATGTATCCCCTGGTGGCCACGTTATAGATCACAGAGCTATGTATCCCCTGGTGGCCACATTATAGATCACAGAGCTAAGTATCCCCTGGTGGCCACATTATAGATCACAGAGCTATGTATCCCTGGTGGCCACGTTATAGATCACAGAGCTATGTATCCCCTGGTGGCCACATTATAGATCACAGAGCTAAGTATCCCCTGGTGGCCACATTATAGATCACAGAGCTATGTATCCCCTGGTGGCCACATTATAGATCACAGAGCTATGTATCCCCTGGTGGCCACATTATAGATCACAGAGCTATGTATCCCCTGGTGGCCACGTTATAGATCACAGAGCTATGTATCCCCTGGTGGCCACATTATAGATCACAGAGCTATGTATCCCCTGGTGGCCACATTATAGATCACAGAGCTATGTATCCCCTGGTGGCCACGTTATAGATCACAGAGCTATGTATCCCCTGGTGGCCACATTATAGATCACAGAGCTAAGTATCCCCTGGTGGCCACATTATAGATCACAGAGCTATGTATCCCCTGGTGGCCACGTTATAGATCACAGAGCTATGTATCCCCTGGTGGCCCACATTATAGATCACAGAGCTATGTATCCCCTGGTGGCCACATTATAGTCACAGAGCTAAGTATCCCCTGGTGGCCACATTATAGATCACAGAGCTATGTATCCCCTGGTGGCCACGTTATAGATCACAGAGCTATGTATCCCCTGGTGGCCACATTATAGATCACAGAGCTATGTATCCCCTGGTGGCCACATTATAGATCACAGAGCTAGTATCCCCTGGTGGCCACATTATAGATCACAGAGCTATGTATCCCCTGGTGGCCACGTTTATAGATCACAGAGCTATGTATCCCCTGGTGGCACATTATAGATCACAGAGCTAAGTATCCCCTGGTGGCCACATTATAGATCACAGAGCTATGTATCCCCTGGTGGCCACATTATAGATCACAGAGCTAAGTATCCCCTGGTGGCCACATTATAGATCACAGAGCTAAGTATCCCCTGGTGGCCACATTATAGATCACAGAGCTATGTATCCCCTGGTGGCCACATTATAGATCACAGAGCTATGTATCCCCTGGTGGCCACGTTATAGATCACAGAGCTATGTATCCCCTGGTGGCCACGTTATAGATCACAGAGCTATGTATCCCCTGGTGGCCACGTTATAGATCACAGAGCTATGTATCTCGCTTCTAACTACAAAACTTTAATTTTTAAATTCTTCCCTACAGATTCTGGAGGTGTGGAGCGGACCAGCCCAGGGCGCCTGTCCTTCGGAGACGGGGAGGTGCTGGGCCTCACCCCTTCTGGAGGCTCCCCTGGGAGCCTCAAGGTCCCTGGGGCCCTGGCAGCCTCCTCAGGAGGCCTAGGAAGGATCGCCAGGCTTCTGGTGAAGGATGCAACACGGTCTGGAGAGGATGCATACCGCAGAAGGACCCACTCGCTGGAGAGGTATGGCGGGGAGATGCAGCCTCCAGTGTGCCGCACCTCACCTTTTATGTGCTCATACACGCCCCTCCCCCTTCTAACGGGTGCGATGATGCTAGTGAAGGGCTCTTGATTCAAGGAATTCGAGCTGTACCCCTTGGATTAAAAATCACTGCTTTCCATTACGTCAAATGCTTTATGTTACCTAAGTTACAAGGCCTTTCGTGTTATAATCAACACATCATCAGGAGCTTGCAATGTTGCAGAAGAGACGAAGAAGACCAAGTAAATACGATCACAAGAATCGTATTTACTCGGACATCCTCCTGTTTTTTGCAACATTGCAAGCTCCTGATGATGTGTGGTTATAACACGAAAGGCCTAGACCTATCATTCAACTACCCCCATGGTTGTTTTGCTTCCCCTTAGAGCTGTCTATGGCCACTTAGGGCCCTGTATGGCACCTCTCGACCCTTGCTATTGCATTTTTTTTAAATTTGTCACTTAATAACATAACAGCAATGTGTGTGGACACTGTTCTAGTAATTAACTAATCACTTCTTAGTTATTTAAGAAGGCCTAAGAATAGCATGTTCATATATTAAAATTTGACTAACTCAATATATGCTTCTTTTTTGACTAGAGAGGCCTAAATTTTCGTAATTTTAATGTGACTTATTTCTCTACGAAAGGTGTGAAAGCACATGGATAGAAATGTGAAATCTGGGTGAAAGAAATCTATGTTTCGCTCTAAATTCTCTGACCTCGTACTGAAGAAGGTCTGTTTAGAAGGCGAAATATGCAGATCTCTTTGTACCAAGAGATTTATCTGTCTGTGCAAGTGGGTTGAACACTTTACCTAAGAGTTTCTGATTGTATCTTTCTCATCCTGAATGCAAGGAGGTTCAGGGTTCGCAAGTGGTATGTTCACCTCTTGTATGAACTCTCTTGTTCACTGTTCTTCGCACAATAGTGACAACTATCGCTTTTTGTGTTCTGAAGTCTTGTGCTCACTGTTCTTCGCACGGCAGTGTTATCTATCGCTGCTTTGTTATGCTGTGTTTTAAAGTTTTGTGTTCTCTGTTTTACGCACGGCAGTGTCAGCTATGTTGCCACTTGTGTTCTGAAGTGTTTTGCTCACAGTGTGTTCTTGAGTGTTCGTGATAGCGTGACGGTAGGTGTTATTATTGCTAGCGGTGGGAAGAGACCTAGCCTGTTCATCTGCCTATTCGAGTGCTGAGAAGGAGGCCTGTCTACTAGTGCCTATATGTGAGAGGGGGGTCACGTGCTGTCAGCATAACAAAGGAGCCTTACTATAAATGATTTACGACAATACGTATTTAATTATACTGTTGACAGCTCGGCAACGCTGACATATGGCGTCCTCGACACAGCTCAACTAAGATAAAAGGCAGACGGCAGAGTTGTCAAGCTCTGGGCTGATTCTATACAAGGAAACATTGTATATAACAAAGGACGTACTTGGATATGATGCATTACAAATCATAGTGAATCATAGGTTTTTTCATATTACATGTGGACAATCTTTATTTATTACCAGTACATGTACAAGGTATACAATCCTAGCTGACAACAATGACATACTACTATATACAAAGCCCCTGGTTATGCTCTGCATGTCGGGCAAATTAGGTCAGTGTCCCAGGATGTGACCCACACCAGTCGATTAACACCCAGGTACCCATTTTACTGATGGGGAACATAGACAACAGGTGGAAGGAAACACGCCCAATGTTTCTACTCTGGCTGGGAATCGAACCCAGGCCCTCACCGTGTGAAGCGAGAGCGTTAACCACCAGGCCACCAGAGATTGATCACTTGTTATTCAAGTAATCAACAAATTCTAAGGAAAACTTATTTACAAAGAAGCAAGTGTTTAACAGAAAAGACAAACTTGGTGCACTCAAGTTTTGTACTGTTAAATCTCAGAACTCAGAGAGAACTTAACACTTCAAGTTTTTGATCCACAATTAAATTAACATACTGTAAGGATTATTACACAAAGCTGAGTACTCATTGGGCTATAATAATCATCTATACAAGGTATTTACATTTAATCCCAACTCTGTTAGATTTACATATGCAGAGTGGTCATCATTTTTAACTGGATCAAATTCTGTGACAATGACTAACTCATGCCATGACTGAGAAGGATCAACATTAGCTTCAACTGCTGAAACTTGAGGATTCCTCATCATTTCTCGTGTATGTAAAGAATAACAACAGCCAGGTTGTATGTCAGAAAGGTTGTTAACGATGGAAGGTAAACTGGGTCAGGGGGTTCGTCAGTCTGCTCACTCGTCTGGGTACCAGAAATTTTAGCAACATATTGCATACTAACTTCATATGATCTAAGTGCGGTGTACAGTGCCTCGTGACCTGGTGGCTAAAACTCTGGCTTCACACAGCGAGGTCCGGGTTCGATTCGAGGGTAGAAACACTGGGCATGTTTCCTTACACTGGTTGTCTATGTTCCCCACCAGTAAAATGGGTACCTGGGTGTTAGTGGACTGGTGTGGGTCACATCCTGGGTGTTAGTGGACTGGTGTGGGTCTCATCCTGGGTGTTAGTGGACTGGTGTGGGTCTCATCCTGGGTGTTAGTGGACTGGTGTGGGTCACATCCTGGGTGTTAGTGGACTGGTGTGGGTCTCATCCTGGGTGTTAGTGGACTGGTGTGGGTCTCATCCTGGGACAAAACTGTCCTAATTTGCAGGAAATACTCTACATAACAAGCGGCTTTCTATATAGTAGTATGTCATTGATTTTAGCTATGGTCTGTATACCTTGTACATGTACTTGTAGAAATAAAGATACCATTATTATTATTATTATTATTATTATTATTATTATTATTATTATTATTATTATTATTATTATTATTATTACTTGCCTGGCAGGTGTTCAAAGGTTCTGTGTTAACTCTTGAGAGGAACATCCTTCTTAAGCAACTCAGAGGAGCTTCAATAGAAAAGAAATTGCTGATAAAATATCTCAAAACCTGCTAAACTCACAAAAGATCTTATGGAGAAATTCTGTTCAGCAGTTCTCTACTTTGGTTACTCCTAACCCCCCTTTAGATAGCTTGATCTTTAGAATGGCTTATTCAGACTTACCAAGCACCAAATTAAGTCTTTTGAGATGCATCTCCTCATCTTCAGATGTGTCAGTTACATTATGAAAGTACACCATGAGTACATTACCTATAAGGCCTCTAAATATATTCGTCACGCGCCTTGAAAATGTGATAGGTGGTGAGCGTAACCCAAAGACCATTCTGAAAAAATGATAATGACCTGTTGGAGTGGAAAAGGCAGTTAACTCCTGGCTGTCCTAGTGAAGAGGAACTTGTCAAAACCTTTGCAACACATCTAGTGTCAAAAAAAAACTTTATTATATCTGATATTTCGTAAATGGTTACCAAGAACAGGGAGAGGGAAATGGTCTTGTATCGTTTTAGCATTCAACTTTCTAAAATCAATTACCGGGCACCAAGTACCATCTTTTTTGGGTACCAGGATCAAGGGTGCAATCTGAGGTGAATTACTGTGTGACAATGCCGTCATCAAGCATCTTATTGACTAAGTCCTCCGTGACAGCAACTTGCAAAAGAGGCATTCTGTACACAAGTATATAGATAGGCCTAGTACCAGGTTCAAGTGGAATACTATGGGACAGTAGGTTCATTAAGCCCACCTTCTCACCTGGTAAAGCAATGGCGCTACAATGTTTGCTCAACTGATACGACAAACTCACAACGTCATCTGGGAGATCAGCACTAACGAATTGGTCCTGGAGTTTACCTGGAGTTTACCTGGAGAGAGTTTCGGGGGTCAACGCCCCCGCGGCCCAGTCTGTGACCAGGCCTCCTGGTGGATCAGTGCCTGATCAACCAGGCTGTTGCTGCTGGCTGCACGCAAACCAACGTACGAGCCACAGCCCGGCTGATCAGGAACTGACTTTAGGTGCTTGTCCAGTGCCAGCTTGAAGACTGCCAGGGGTCTGTTGGTAATCCCCCTTATGTGTGCTGGGAGGCAGTTGAACAGTCTCGGGCCGGTGACATTTTGACATTTCATTCTCTACCCGAACAGTATACGGATAGTATTACAAGCACAGGTGTAGTTGACTGGCCTGCACACCTGGCTGTAGCACCATAACCACTTAGGAATGAGCGAAAAGTCAACAGAGTAATTTTTCGTATTTCCTTCACCGAATAATAATCTGGTATTTACAATATGTACAACTATGTACAATAGGGTAAATGCAAGCATGAGACTTAGTCAGAGCTGTAGCAACCAGACTTCAAAGTGAATCTGCCAAAAATGATTTACAAATATACCACATTGCTTCACAACTTTGGGGGCGTCCTTGTGATTGGTTGGTTGAACCAAGGGACTGGCATAATAATGGGGCCCCTGCTCGGTATGCTCTTAGCACCTGATTCACTGGTCGGGAGGCATACCTATATGGGTGTGTGACATATGCCAAATATAATGTAACATACTCTTAGCATAGCAGAGTTATTAAGGCTGGTTGATTAGTTAATGGGATTTAAAGTCTATCTACTACACGAGGGACATTAATGCTGGTTAGTCGGTTAATTGGGTTTAAAATTTACTACATGAGGGTCATTAAGATTAGCTGGTTGGTTAATAGGGTTTAAAATCTACTATACGAGGGTCATTAATGTTGCACGTCACCTGTACACCACCAGTCAAGAACACTAAAATATCTTATATAAGGATTACAATGAACTTTGTGTGTGTTCACTGAGAGATGTTCACCTCTCAGTGTTCAATTAGTCACTCTTAAGTTTGTATATTAGATGAATCTTATTAGAAGCAGCTGGCCAAGTGGTTAACGCACTGGCCTGCGAGTTTTAAAATTTGCCATTGGTTCAAACCACTACCAGTTATACTGTTTTAGAGTGAGAATGATTAGCTCTTCAACTGCTGCTGTTGCTGCTGTTATTGCTGCAGCTCTTGCTGCTGTTATTGCTGCAGCT